GAGAATGTGTAGCATGACCATATGATGGACTAGTGAAAAATAATAAGTAAACTGTTTGAGAACCACTTCTCATTTACAAACATGACCTGGCATGCACTGAGTGCATTGCAACATACAAAGCTACATATTCAGCYATAGTAAAGTGATTGTAAATTTTARTCGCGATTAATCRCRATTAAAATGTTTAATCTATGCCCAYGCAGCACTAAAATTAATCAGAGTTAACTCGATTAATTTCACAGCCCGTATTTTCTCTATGAATGCTAATCTGTGTATAWTTTCTAATGTTTCCTAGAGTCAGCCCTGGCCGTTTCAGTCCAGTGTCCCACCAAGAAGTACGTTGTCATCCTCTTCCAGCCGGTGACCCTCACCTGTCAGTACCAAACGTCTCCTTCTCAGCCTCCCGTCATCACTTGGAAGTATAAATCATACTGCAGGGACCCGATTCAGGCTGCACTCAGTCCCAGCAGTGCAGATACTGCCTTGGCACAAAATAACCCGAACTATAACCCCAACATCGAGTGTGCGGACAGCCAGAGAACGGTCCGCATTGTGGCCTCGAAGCAAGGCACCGCCGTTACCCTGGGCAAGGAATATCAGGGTCGAAAAGTCAGTTTCACGAATGGTGAGTTGGTCAAAGCTTGAATGACAAAAATTTGATGTAATTGTTCAATTAGGATGCTGTCTTATCTTTATTTTATAAGTAAATTTGATTTTAAAAAGTATAAATGATCTTTACATGTTCTAATTTTTATAATGTAACACATTCAAGAAAAACTTATTTTTTATGCCATACACACAAACATGTTTGTTCTTCTATCTTTATGGGGACTTTGCATTGACTTCCATTCATTTACCAGTCATTTTCACAGCCTAACCCTGACCCCTTACCCTAAACCCAACCACACCAGTACATACCCAACCCCAAACCTACCCCAAAAAACTAAATTCACGACTTGTTCCTAAACCTAACCCCAGATCCGCCAATGATAATTCCCCAAATGGGGACCGGGCTTTTGTCCCCATAAGTAACAGTGGGTCGTCACCAAGTTGTGTACCCTGGAATTGGTCAAAAATCGTCCCCACCAGGTAACAAAAACGTACACGCACAATTAGTTTTTATTTATTAATATGGTCAAGACAAAGAATAAAGAGAGTTTGATTTGAGACCAAAAAAATGTATTGTTGGTACTTCACATATTATCAATCTATTTGCAATTTTAAATTTATTACTAATTCAGAGACTTTTAAAAGCCATTTAGCACAATCAGAATGAAACCACTCAACATGATAAAGTTTAAATTAATGGAGGCACAAAAAAAAAGGCTTTGATTGGAGTCAGAGTTTACAGCTTGGTGTCTTACCTTTCGGCTTGATGAGTTAAAGTTTTAAAATCAAATCACAGAATAAAAGTAACTTTTTAATGTTTAAAATTTAAACTAGACCTCTCTTACTTCTTCCTTGGTTCTAGGTTAAAGTAAATCAGAACTTTGGTCATAAGCCTGTGTCATTTTGTTGACTTCTGCTGTTAAAAAATAACTGTTTCCACCACAGTCCCTCCCACTCACATGTTTCTTTATGCTTTCCTAAATCCTCTGTCATGGCTCAATTGAATCCTTGAGGGAATATTTGCAAACTGCAGGTCAGGCCTTTTGAAGCTGTTACAAATTCTAAATTCTAGATACAGAAAAACAAAACTGAACTTTTTGGACATAATTTCATTTCCTAATGTATTATCCCAATGTCTAAATGTTGGCTCCTAGTACAAAGTCGGAAAGTTAAAAAAAAAAAGATAACAAATGACTGTGAAATGGAATCCTCCTTTAAGAAGACAAAAYATCATCAGTTGTCACGATTTAAGGTAAACATTAATTAGTCCATGTCATGTAAAACTAGTTATTCTAGCCCACAGCATATTATTTAATGCTTGTTATGGATGCCGAGCAAAGTACATTGATGTACGTCACAATAGACAGAGTGTTTTTTTTTTTTCCAGCAAACTATTTTTAACAGAGAATGTGCTTTCATAGGTGAGGGTATTTCAAACACAACTTAAACTTTTTTATTCCAAGTTTACCCATGAAAAACCCCAAGGCCTCGCTAGCTTCACCCCTTTCATCGCCCACTGTGTCACAAAAAGATTTGGGAAACCCCTCATCCCCTGAGCAAATATGCRAAACAGGAGTAGGGCAGCAAAGTAAGTGGTTTTGTGAAATAGAATGCTGCCTTAATTTATRACATTTATTATACTCACTGTCTCATAAACTCTGATTTTGCAAGAAAACACACTTAACAGAAAAATTGCTACTACAGTTTATTATGTCTGTTTGTTTTTATCTGGTGTAAAGAACTTTGTTACTCTTCATTTATAAAAGATTCTTAAACATTAATGTTTAAATGTCCTTTGAGTTATCCATTGTTGGTCAGTCTTATTATTGAAAGGGAAATGTGTATATACGATTATCAAAAGTAACTGGATCAGCACCAAGTAAAGTGAGCTCTTAGGGTAGTATTTCACTGGGCAACAACTACTGGAGAATAGTGGGTGGCTCAGGATATGTTGAGAGTTAAATTACACAACTGTAATCTAGGCCATRCAGATTATTTTGTTKCCCACCGCTGCTTTCATCATACCCACCAAGGCTAGCTCTGTACTTACTTTGTCATCTGTCCCTACATTTATTATTTATTCTGAYAAAATRCACTTTAAAAATGAAGATGGGCAGATTTAATCCTGTTTTGTGAAATTATCTGCCTGTATATTTGGGATTGTAGCCTTTGAGGTTTTCTGTCAAAGGAGTGAGATACTGTTATACTAAAAGTAAGTTTTCTGAAGAATGAAGACAATGCAGTCTCTCTAAAGAAGCATCCACACACATTCRGTGATATTAAAAGTCTTGTTTGAAATGTCAAAATATTGTAACTWAATGTTTCCAATGGGAATTCAATCTAATAACATTAAATCACTGAAAACCTGTTACTCACAGATGCAGAACTGAACATTGCGCAAACTGCATGGGGAGACAGTGGTGTTTACGTCTGCTCAGTGGTCTCATCCCAAGATCTTACAGGAAATGGCGAAGATTACGTTGAACTAATTGTACTTGGTAAGTCCTTTTTAGTTTTTGAAGAACATTCCTTGCTCTAACTGTTCTGTTTCCTTCCCCCTTTTTTCCCCTTATTTCTCTAAGAAGATTTTCTTCTTCAAATACTGTATGTGAGGGGGAAATGTACTAAGAGAACCACTGATTTGATTCTTGCACAAGTGACTGGACTATTAGGGGACTTTGGTCCATGAGAGAGGATGTTTGCCACAAACTGGTTTCTTCAGAACTATTTGGAGTCAAGTTGTCGACAATAAGTTAGACATCACCTTAAAGTAATTGTGGCTTTATCTTTCTTTCGCAGAGAGAAAGTCAAATACTACTGACCTCCTGCCTGGCATTGACTTACTGGTTATGGAAGGTAGTACAAGCCCTTTTATTTAGTTTAGTTTAGGGTTATTAGATCTTGTTGTCAAGGTGGGATTTCTCAATGTTGTGGCTGCTATGAAGTCTACTAAGCTTGTGTTTTTTTTTTCAAACCCCTAAAGTCTTCTGCTAAACGGTTTGAAGAGTTTAGATAGGAAATAGCTGAAGTCATTCAGTAAATACACTGTATGTGGCAAATGTGATTCATAATGAGAAAAACATCCGGTTCTAGAGTTGAAACTAGAATGATGTAATGACTCGTTCCTCTGTTTTTGATTTTCTTTCTTCCCCACTGCTTTCATTTTTCACACTGTTTTTCTTTTATAGATTCTCAGCCATGCAGTAATCCTAACAAGTTGAATCCAAGGAAACCAGATATTTTAATCATAGAACGTTTGCTGTTTGTCTAAGCTTTCTCTATTCAATTGAGATAAAATATGAATTGCTTTGGATAACAAAAAAAGCCATATTGAAGAACCAACAAGCCTTTAATTCAACTTGCTAGGATTCATGTTAGACTGTTTTAATGTGGATCAGGTTTCGTCTTGTATTTCAGTGCTGAGCAGCAAAAATTACTCAACACACATTCTTGTCTACACATTCCAACTGTGTTTTAGCTTATTATTTACAACAAGCATAGTATATCATGTCTGTGTTTTGTCCTGCCTGAACTGACATTCAGTGTACTGGATTTTCCAGTTTGGCAAAACTTAAAAAAAAAACTGTTTTGACGGTGGGACTAATGTTGCATAATCATGAGAAAACTGGCTAGTTGTAACACAGACCTCCTTGTTTTCTTCTCACCTTTTACAGATCAGTGGCATATTATATACATTTGAACTCTGATAAAATTAACTCAGTGTCAACTTTCATCCCTCTGTCAAAGGATTAACAACACAAAGCAAGCTAAACAGTCAGCACAGTTCTAAGTTAATAAGTAATATAACATAATAAACCATGCATATCACTTAGTTGAATACCTGAAATGCAGTTCAGCTGTAAACCTCTAACATAAATGACTTCTTTGTGGTCCACACAGACTGGCTCCTGGTAGTTTTGGTGGTTTTGGGCTTTCTGTTACTGCTGATGCTGATCGGGATCTGTTGGTGCCAGTGTTGTCCACACACCTGCTGCTGCTACGTCAGCTGCCCCTGCTGCCCTGAACGGTGCTGCTGCCCACGAGCATGTGAGTATCAAATAGAAAATACGTTAAAACTGTACAAGGTTTTCCTCTACGGTGCATGGGCCAACTTCAAGGCCCACAGGCTAGAGCTGGCCCTCGATACAATTCTGTCTGACCCCATAGATTTTAAAAATGTTGAATAAATTTGTGACAGGTCAACTCTATCAGTTCTTTTTTTTTTATTAAAAAATAGCTTATTTATATATGCCAACTTTAAAACTAAGAAAATGAAGTATAAATTCATCAGTAATCTGTTTGTTTTTGGAGTAAGTAGAGTAACTACATCCAGTGGTGAATGATCATGTCAAGAAATAATGCCAGTCGTGGTTAAACCCTTCTGCTGCCAATGGCACAACCCACGAGGCCTTAGTTTTATAACTGAGACTTCATGGGTCATTTTGACCCATGGGTAGCTGAAGCTTTAAGTGAACATGCATAAGACCAACAAAGAGTCTACCTAAACCAGCAGTTCCCAACCTGGGGGGCCAGAGAGCACCAAGTCCATTTGAATAATTGAAAATCTGTAGGAGTTCTTCTTTTATTGATAAAGAGATCAAGTTTGAAAGCATCTTTGACAGAAGTGGTGGTACTCTGCTTGGCTTGGAAGGAAGAAAGTGGGGCTTAGAGGAAAATAGATTGGAAACTATTGACCTAAATTATATTTTAACCATATTTCCTTGTAATTTAAAAATACAATTTTAGTTCCAAAATATCTGGACATTTTTATTTGGGATTTTTATTTTAAACTGACGGTTGAATTGCAAACACCTTTTCACAGTAAATAAAAAAGCAAGGGATAAGAAATTATTGTTATTGATGCTATTGCTGTCTTGAACTTTGTATTTATTTATTTTCTCTGCTGTATACTGAACTTGTTTGTTTGTTTGCAGTGTATGAAGCAGGAAAAGCAGTGAAGAAAGGGATACCCAGTCAGTATGCTGCTACCCTTTATGCTCCCAGTATGTACAGCCAGCCCATGTCTGCCATACAGCTTCAACCCATGCCCAACGGCATGGTTCCTCCCCAGAATGGTTATGGTCGTGACTATGATGGTGCGAGCTCGGGTAGGCGCTTTCTTTAAAATTCTATTTTTAGTCTTTATTTTTAATTAGTCATTTCTGACTCAGCTTACACAATAGATAAATGTGAATGAAGTCTGGTTCCACAAAACTGAGTTTCAGCTTGACAGTTTTTCTGATTTTTGAACTTTTCTGATGTCTGGTTGTTTATTTTTTGTTTTGTTTTGTTTTGTTTTGTCATTTGTTGTGTGTTCAGTGGGGCATGGATCACAGGTGCCACTGATGCATGATCACGATGGTGGAGGAGACCACAGTGAGTAAATGGAAAAAAATAAGCCTCACAAACAAATGGTCACTGTAGGGATGAAATTTGTGTAGTTGGGGTATTATTGCAACATCTATTTAATAAGAGGAATTTCCTTATTAACAATGTTACAGAAATGCATATGTTTTATTTCCAGTGGCCTTCAGCACCAGTAAAGTAAAAAGTCTGTACGTGTTTGTGTTTTACCCACAGCTCGCAGTGGTTATCGTATTCATGTGGACCCTGAAGGAAATGCAACACGTGCAATTTATTACATGGAAAAGGAACTTGCTTCATTGGACCCCTCTCGACCTGCCAACTACAAGCGCTGTGAGTGACTTTGTACTTCCTGTAGTTCGATAACACTTGTGTACCGCATACCACCAAAAGTAAAATAAATCAGTCTATCAAGACTTATTCAGTCATGATCTTTATGGATTAAAATAGTCTACTTCCTTCAGAGGTTGATAGAATATTACTGGTGTAACTGGTGACGCAGAATATGAATCACATTTTCATTTTTATTATTTTTTTAAGTTGGTATTTCATAAGAGACGTGGATATGAAATAGCTCTTGATGTGATCTGGCATCACTGAAATTAAATGACTACATGCCGTGAAACTCATGGGGGCATAATGATAGGGGAAACGCTGACAGTGCTAATAATATGAAATTATTTATTCAAATAATTTAAAGTAATGCAGTTTCAATAACTAAACTCCACTGTTGTGAATTGTTTCAAATAAAACCAGTGTTTAATAAAATATATAATTTTTACTGCAGAAAGGCATGAAGTAACAAAAACTGGATTCATTGAATGAACTAAAATAAGCTTGATGATGGATGCCAAATTTCTTTGTTCTGAACTACTGATTCATACCTTGTAGCATTATCTTCAACGAAACACTCCATGGTTGAATACTACAAAAAAATTCTTTAGATCTGATCTGCAGACTTGTGGTTTCACACCCTACTTTGAGAAACTGTATTTGCAGTACGGGGAAATAACTATCAGTTTTTTCTGATATTTCCAGGAAACACATTTGATCTGATTACTTGCAGGTTTCAAATTTGTTTGTGCACTTTTCTTTGATGCAGTAAACTGCATGAGTTGTGAATTGTTGCATAGTTTCAATTTAAAGTGAATGAGAAACAAAAGGTTGGAGAACCTTATTGTTTTAGTGTGAGGCCAAATAATTCCTATGTTTCTCATGAAACAAAGTTGTATACCTGTATTTTCATTATAAATCAAATGACTTCATTATCTTTGATTTGAGCTGTAGTAATGCTCACTGAAACATCAGTAATTTATCTTGCTTACACTGAAACCAAACATGTATTTCAATTGATTTCTTTTGTTTTTCCTCAGTGGACAACATGAGTGAAGTCAGTTCTCTGCACGACAGCGTGGAGCCTCGAGGCCGCGGGGGCCGTTCCCAGCCCCCACCTCTGGCCACTGTTTATGATCAGGATGAAGCCATGAGCACCATCACCAGTGTTTCCCAGCAAGGCCAACGCCGTGGAGACTATGGACGGCGTGGTGGAGATTTCATGGAAAATCGCGCACGTGCCCGCTCCATGGATGACCTCAATGACGTTGGGCGAGGGTACAGAGATGACTACCCCCCACACAGACGCCCAGATGAGCCTAGAGGCCGGTGAGTGAGTGTGTGTGTGTGTATGTATGTACAGGTCATAAAATTAGAATATCATGAAAAAGTAGATTTATTTCAGTAATTCCATTTAAAAAGTGAAACTTGTATGTTATATTCATACATTACATACAAACTCATATATTTCAAATGTTTATTTCRTTTAATTTTGATGATTACAAATGACAACAAATGAAAATCTCAAATTCAGCATATCAGAAAATTAGAATATTACTGAAGACCAATAAAAACAAAGGATTTATAGAAATGTTGGCCAACTGAAAAGTATGAACACGAAAAGTATGAGCATGTACAGCACTCAGTATTTAGTTGGGGCTCCTTTGGCCTGTATTACTGCAGCAATGCGGCGTGGCATGGAGTCGATCAGTCTGTGGCACTGCTCAGGTGTTATGATAGCCCAGGTTGCTCTAATAGTGGCTTTTAGCTCTTCTGAATTGTTGGGTCTGGTGAATTGCATCTTCTTCTTCACAATACCCCATAGATTTTCTATGGGGTTAAGGTCAGGAGAGTTTGCTGGCCAATTAAGAACAGGGATACCATGGTCCTTCAACCAGGTACTGGTAGCTTTGGCACTGTGTGCAGGTGCCAAGTCCTGTTGGAAAATGAAATCTGCATCTCCAAAAAGTTGGTCAGCAGCAGGAAGCATGAAGTGCTCTAAAACTTCCTGGTATGTGGCTGCGTTGACCCTGGACCTCAGAAAACACAATGGACCAACACCAGCAGATGACATGGCACCCCAAACCATCACTGACTGTGGAAACTTTACACTGGACTTCAAGCAACGTGGATGAAGTGCCTCTCTTCTTTTCCTCCAGACTCTGGGACCTTGATTTCCAAAGGAAATGCAAAATTTACTTTCATCAGAGAACATGACTTTGGACCACTCACCAGCAGTCCAGTCCTGTTTCTCTGTAGCCCAGGCAAGACGCTTCTGACGCCGTCTGTGGTTCAAGAGTGGCTTGACACAAGGAATGCGACAGCAGAAACCCATGTCTTTCATACGTCTGTGTGTGGTGGTTCTTGAAGCACTCRCTCCAGCTGCAGTCCACTCTTTGTGAATCTCCCTCACATTTTTGAATGGGTTTTGTTTCACAATCCTCTCCAGGGTGCGGTTATCTCTCTTGCTTGTACATTTTTTTTGACCACATCTTTTCCTTCCCTTCGCCTCTCTATTAATGCGCTTGGACACAGAGCTCTGTGAACAGCCAGCCTCTTTAGCGATGACCTTTTGTGTCTTGCCCACCTTGTGCAAGGTGTCGATGGTCGTCTTTTGGACAACTGTCAAGTCAGCAGTCTTCCCCATGATTGTGTAGCCTATAGAACTAGACTGAAAGACCATTTAAAGGCCTTTGCAGGTGGTTTGAGTTAATTAGCTGATTAGAGTGTGGTACCAGGTGCCATCCATTTTGAAACTTTTCACAAGATTCTAATTTTCTGATATGCTGAATTTGAGATTTTCATTTGTTGTCATTTGTAATCATCAAAATTAAACGAAATAAACATTTGAAATATATGAGTTTGTATGTAATGTATGAATATAATATACAAGTTTCACTTTTTAAATGGAATTACTGAAATAAATCTACTTTTTCATGATATTCTAATTTTATGACCAGCACCTGTATGTATGTATGTATGTATGTATGTATGTATGTATTTATGTATGTATGTATTTAGCAAAACCATCTCTTTGAAAGCTCATGCTTTACAAGAAAGTAGATGTTACATTTATTTTAAATAAGATTTGATCAACTTGGTGTTGTCAACATAATGGATATAAATATTTATTACACAAAGATAAGCTGACAGTAATGTCGGCCCCTTTGTGGTTATTTTTTGTTTTTCTTTCTCCTGTTGTACCACAGGGTGTGGTGCTTTCTGAATTACTCACAGCAGCTGAGGGTGAAGGTTCTGTTTTCTCAGGCAGCTGACAAATAAAGCAGCTTTTACRGTCTCATCTTGTCTGTTACCTCAAGGTCACCAATGATGATCTCCTGATATTCATATTTTTATACATGACATTATTTTTGTTCTCTAATTTAGCCTGTGTGTTCAGTGGATCATCTGCACTGTTTGAAGATTTAACCTGTATGTGTCGTTTTTCCTTTCCCTTTACATATTTTGTGATTCAAGCTCATTATTTCTTGTTTTTCAGTTCTTTTTCTTGTTTTATAAATTCTGAAACTTGCAATTGGCATAATGCTTTGAGTTTTTGGCATTTTATTTATTTATTTTTTGATGAGACAATGAGATATCTCACTCATTTACATGTTGGTTCAGATATCTTACTGTGACTGAAAGATCACAGGAGTAAATACATAAATGAAATCGAAACAAAAAAATAAAAGAACAGAGAAACTAAAATCTATTTATCTTTATGCATCTTTGTTGATTTTTGCCAAAACAATATAAATCTGAAGATACCAAACTTACATTTTACAGTAGCCTTCGTTTCAAAGCTAGATCTTTTGTGAAGAGATTTATTTGTTCATTTCAGTAGCATTTTGTGGTTTTTGAAGTTGGCCATTGAAATGGGTGGGAAATCTATAACTGGTATGTGGAAATTTGCTTGTGGTTTTTGTGATTAATTCTCCTACTGATGTTCAGCAAACATCTGCCTTTCTCACAAATGTCCCCTTAAAGCWTAAAATGTTCGCCAATGATAACGTTAATAGTTTCGAAATGAGGTGTTTTGTTGTTTGTGCTASGGTTAGGCAAAATCATGTTGTGTGCAGTTAATCATCAGAAAAACTTTAATAGATTATTTTTCGGCACTTGATGAGGTAATATAATTAATATCTCCAGGCGGACAGACTGGGGATTTTCCTGGTCAACCTACTTGATGCTCCTCTCTGCTTCAAATATGACAAATGTTTTGTTTGTTTGTTTGTTTGTTTGTTTGTTTGTTTGTTTGTTTAAGTTCTGTAATATACCCCACTGGAGGGCCACACAGGAGTCACCCGCAGGCCACATTTGGGGCCTTGAGTTTGACATGTGGCCTTAAGTCTGTACTTTTGACACAATTTGGAAGAGATTTTTCCAGAGAGCAAACCTTTCCCACTAGAGTGATTTAAATTGGTCATGCGGGGATTCAGGGGATTAATCATCATATTAATCATTATTGGCTAAATACCACAATTAATTGGAAAAGTAGAATGGCATAAAAAGGCAAGTAGTGATGCTAGACAGTAAACTCTTTCTTTTTTTTTTTGGCTCAATCAGGTGCATTTTAATTAAACCAAAAGACTTCACTTCAGTAACTTCAACCACTTTTAACTAACTTAACAGTTCTGTCTCACACAAATACATTTAGTCTGTTGGCTTCCACAAAGTTTAAATTTGCACCACAACCTAAACTGGTATTAATTGACATAGGTCTAACTGATGCAATATTCTGCTTTCTTTCCGTTTAGCTCGGATGATGAGTGGAGCAACAGCGCTCGCAGTGGCTATGATGACCGCAGACGTCGCGACTACTCCCCAGACGATCGCAGGGGAAGACAAGGGGACGGCTACAGCGACCTCGGGGGGCGCCGCAGTCGCAGCCGGGACGATCTGATGGAGATGGAGCGGGACCGCCGGTACGGGGATGGCCCCAGGGGCGGGGGCCGGGACGACTACGATGACAGCTTCCTGCGGGAAGCCTTGGAGAGGAAGAAGCTGGGCGAGCAGCAAAGGGCACGCAGCCGGGAGCGGCTCGATAGTGAGAGCGATCGCTTGGATCGGGAGAGGGCACCACGTGGGCCCCCACCACTTCCTGTAATCCCACCYTCTGGATATCCCGGCCGCCGCGATGACTACCCACCCTCTCARCCACCTGCGTACAGTGACAATGAAAGTGTGTCGTCTTCAAAGAAAAGTAACCTTCGCAAGGTAAGTCACAGATTATAAATGCTTTAACATATACATCAGAATAACCTTACGTAGATGTTTTAGCTTTCTGTCAAAGTTATATCAATGAAAAAAGTAAAAAAAATGTTTTCTAATGAGCAGTTAAAGTTAATGGCTAGAAAACATATTGCATTTTAAATAGAAAAAAAATTGAAGATTTAAAGTTTTGTTGTATATTAAATTTGACAAATTACCAGTAGGTGAAAGTATATTTTTTTTATTGCTGTCTGCAATTCTTACAAAATATTAAAATAAGATGAAATATGTTTTTACATAATAGTTACTGATTTATTTCCTAATCAAACGTTCCTGTTGTTTTGCAGAATGGAGCTGTGAGTCGGGAGAGCCTGGTGGTGTAAAGCCGACCATCATGATGATGCAACTTCAGCCTTTTATTTCAAAGATAGRTGGTTTCTGACATTGTATATATTACTCACACAACTAACATGCTGTGCAGATTTATGTTTTTTACTGAGCTCAAATTGATGCTGAATCTGATTTGTAATTTTTTTTCTTAAGAATTACTTGGAAGTGGTGCACATAAAATGAACGTGCCTTTCCTTGAATTAAATTTGTGGCTGCCACAAGTGCCTTTATATTGTACAGAGTTTTAATTGTAGATGTAAAAGCCCTGTCAATAAATACTTCTTCTGTTTAGGTATTTACTTTTTGACATTTTAAAGGGTTCTAATTAGTTTTTTTTTTTTTTTTTTTTTTTTTTTTTTTTTTTTTTTTTTTTTTACTTTACGGTAGAATCACTTAAGTAATATTTGTGTGGTTTTACAGGGTTCTTTGCTGTTATATATTTTCTGTTTTTGTACTTGTAAAAACATGTTTGTAAGAACTTATGTATATTGAAATGAACTATATTTGTGCTTTTTGCTTGTAGTCATGTTAGAACGCTTTTGTACTTAAAATGCTGGTGAACAAACAACTTTTTAACCTTTTTTTTACACAATGTCATTTTAATCTACAGTATGCTGTACAGCTGACTTGTTTTATTCTCTGACAATGCAAATGATCATTATCATGTAATGAAATCAGTCTTTACAATAAAGCTTTTGCTTCTAGGTCTTGTAGTTGACTTGAACAATTTTTCCACTAGATGTCACTCTTTTGTTTATTTTATTTTTTCTGTGTGAGAGTGGCATCATTTGAGCTTCACGTTAGTTTAAATTTTATTTTTTATTTAATTCTTATTTATCCAGGCAAATCCCATTGAGATCCCAGATCTCTTTTTCAAGGGCAGCCTGGGCCTAAAGGCATTGTACATGTTTTATGTATGCTGTGTCCTGTAGGAGGCCACACTTCAGTGAAACCAGATATTTTTTTACCTATTCAACTAACACAGATTCAGACTGAGCTTTTCATCCATAACAAACTGACTGTTAACAATGGTTGTACTGTACGTGGTACACCTTAAAGATAGGCAACTTAAATGATGTAAGGAGCCACAACTTTGTTTTTTTGTCACCACCAGAGAGCTACATACCCAAATGTAATAAAACTGCTATTATGTTTATTAAACCAACATACAGTGCAGCAACTTAACGTTTGGGGCAGCTTGGTCACTGGTTCAATCCCCCCCAGCTGTCTCTGTCATGTCCTTGGGCAAGATGTGGAATTATACTTAACAAAAAAGTGTGAAACAACTGAAAATATGATCTAGGTTCTTTAAAGTAGCCACCTTTTTCTTTGATTACTGCTTCACACACCCTTGGCATTCTCTTGATGATCTTCAAGAGGTAGTCACCTGAAACGGTTTTCACGTCACAGGTGTGCCCTGTCAGGTTTAATAAGTGGGATTTCTTGCCTTTTAAATGGGGTTGTGACCATCAGTTGTGTTGTGCAGAAGGTGGATACAGYACACAGCTGATAGTCCTACTGCATAGACTGTTAGAATTTGTATTATGGCAAGAAAAAAGCAGCTAAGTAAAGAAAAACGAGTGGCCATCATTACTTTAAGAAATGAAGATCAGTCAGTCTGAAAAATTGGGAAAACTTTGAAAGTGTCCCCAAGTRCAGTCSCAAAAACCATCAAGTGCYACAAAGAAACTGGCTCACGAGGACCGCCCCAGGAAAGGAAGACCAAGAGTCACCTCTGCTGTGGACGATAGGTTCATCCGAGTCACCAGCCTCAGAAATGGCAGGTTAACAGCAGGTCAGATTAGAGGACAGGTCAATGCCACACAGAGTTCTAACAGCAGACACATCTCTAGAACAACTAAGAGCCGACTGTGAAACCACTGCTAAGGACAGGCAACAAGCAGAAGAGACTTTTTTTGGGCTAAAGAACATAATGAATGGACATTAGACCAGTGGCAATCTGTGCTTTGGTCTGATGAGTCCACATTTGAGATCTTTGGTTCCAACAACCATCTCTTTGTGCGATGCAGAAAATGTGAACGGATGRACTCTACATGCCTGGTTCCCACCATGAAGCATGGAGGAGGAGGTGTGATGGTGTGGGGGTGCTTTGCTGGTGACAGTGTTGGGGCTGTATTCAAAATTGAAGGCATACTGAACCAGCATGGCTACCACAGCATCTTACAGCAGCATGCTGTTCCATCCGGTTTGTGTTTTGTTGGACCATCATTTATTTTTCAACAAGACAATGACCCCAAACACACCTCCAGGCTGTGTAAGGGCTTTTTGGCCAAGAAGGAGAGTGATRGGGTGCTGCGCCAGATGACCTGGCCTCCACAGTCACCGGACCTGAGCCCAATCGAGATGGTTTGGGTTGTTTTCAGTGTTCGAGCACAATAAAAGGCAAGTGAAGAGATGGTGACGATGTTAAATTAATTTATTGATCCATAATAGTTCTGTTCATTGGTTGTTTTAAGTGACATCACATAAAACTCATTGTATAGCTTCATGAAAACACTTTTGAGTTCTGATAGATTTAAGGCTCATTCTGTAATTATAATAAACAGATTTGACTTTTAAAGTATTGAGTCAATCCCAAGACACTGAAGCTTTATTTTATTTTTGTACCGATGAACTACAACTGCATGAGTCGCCTCTGATTCCTAAACTTTGTTATAAATTGATGTTWCTCAAATTTTCTTGATGTGTCTGTGACATATTAGGCCTACAGCTTAGTTTTATTTTAAGACACTTTTTTAAACAGAACAAATTGCATTGAATTAGAAAACAGCCTCACATGCTCAGATGAAATTGTCCTTAAAACGCATGAATAATAACGTGATTACTCAGTTTTTGTTCTCTGTGATTATGCTAATGTACGATGCACTTACTCAGTTTTATTGTGCAAAAAAAGGCTGCAGACACTGTTGCCCACAGTTTTCATCTCTCTGTGTGAAGTTTGCATGTTCATGTGCATGTGTGAATTTCCACCCACAAACCAAAAACATACCTGTTACATTAGTCGGCCTTATAAACAGACATTGGGAGTAAATGTGTGGTTATTTTGCAGTATCTTGTTTGGTTCTGCTGACTCTGATGACACGCTCAGATGTGAGGTGCAACTGAAAGTTTTCCACTTCTCACTCGCTGGATGAGGCTGCAGCCTTAATGTACTGACAGATCAGTAACACTTGATAGTTTTCTGTTCAATACACACAATTCTTTGTTCTTTATCACTATATTACTTTCCTACATCTAAGTTATTGTCGTAAGCACACTTTAATCCGAATGATAGTTATATATTGTCCTTTAATTAAATAATGTTGTGGTGTCTGCTCCCCCAGCAACCTACAGAATCGCAGGTTTTCATGCCAAAGAGCCAATCTGTTAACACACTGAGAGAGTGAATGAGCAGGAGGAGGGAGAGCAGCAGAGAAAACAAACGCTGAAGGAGGGAGGACGACTCTCTGGGCTTCTCACTGGCTTCTGATCAGATCAGCTGATAAGGTAAGAGCGATGCTGTTCTCTGACAGTTTTTACAGACTTGTAAATTTACGAGAAAATTCACAATATGTTATTTTTCTTTTTTGCTTTCTCTACTTAAAACAATTGATCATTTTAGGCGTTAACTGTTACAACTTGTCTTTGTATTAGAACTGTTGTGAGTGTGACCAGTTGGGGACAAAACAAGGAGCAGATATTTCACAACATTGTCATTGCTCTACATATATATA